TTTTTTTTTTTTTTTGGTGTTTTGGGGACATGCAACACGATATTATATACTTTATGCTGCTGTATTTTCAATAGTCATATTAAGGCAGATTTTGGCGTCATGAAACATCTAGAAATGCATGCAACACAAAATCAACTATGGTCAAGTGCTATGACGTTAAATTACTCAAAGAGGCATGTTCCTAATTTGTATAAATAGGAAATGGAGGAAGTAAAAAACCATGCCAAAACTGAAGCTCTGAAAACTTTTAATAAGCATGTAAAATCCTGGAAATAATCTTGAGAAATTGGCCTCAATATATTGCTATTTCTAAATTGACAAAAATAAATTGAACTAAAATGAGCAGCTGAAATTGAAGAAAGACTTTATTCTGCATGTCATCTCGAGGCTTTCCAACGCTTCACAAAATGAGAGTTTTCGGCAAAAACGGTGACCCACCCGAGCTGGTTAGATGCGTGGGACAAAGGGCTTGTAGTATCTGCTAGAGCGGCTACACAGTCGAAAGGGAAGGAGACCATAAGGGATCTGTACAGTTGGCAAAATTTACTTGAAGCTGCTTCAAGAATGCCCCCAACAAATTTGATTTGAGAATCCGGAAGAAAGGAGACGGGACTCATAATACTCAAGACATGCAACTGAGACAAAAATAGCATGGAGGATCACCTGAGTTTTCTTCAGGGGCAATTCCATCCAAGCATACACTGTGAAAAGAATGACCACACGGCAAAATAGCAACATTTGGGAGAACCGAAGGTTCAACATCATCATAATATCCGTCTACATATTCATCAGGCATGTACAACAGATCATTTTCGCATAGTGGGCACGTGATTCCAGAAGATTCAAATGTTTCATCCGGACCTGCAGTGTACAGATTATTGATTAGCAATGCACTAAAGCAGAAAAAACTGAAATGCATATGCTGCCGAACACTGTGTTTATCCCGATAAGGGCAGCACAAGAAAGATTATGCCATTGAAATCATCGTTGTTGTGCACATTCCAGAAAAAAGTAAGCATATTAACTCGCCATAACATTTATAGTATGACTGGATCTATATATCTACCAACCAGTAAATTTAGGATCGCTTATGTTCTGTAAGCCCATCTATCCCATTTGCTTAAGATTAAAGCGCAGCTTTCCTACCCTAGATAGTGGTCTCGGAACACTAAGAAGAGATAAAATTTTGGACATACCTTCCCATATAATATGGTGGATAGGCTCTTCATTAATTCTTAAAGGCTCCTTGGTACTTGTGGACGATTTAGACTGCCTGATGGAAGTAGGGATCCTTGTCTTTCCCACCGAATTCTGGTTGAGGGTCCTTTTTTGCGAAAGGTCTGAAGTTGGAGCCTTTTGAAATTTGGACTGATGGACAAGAGCTTTGCCCTGCATCTTTTGATGCGAAAGCTGGGTCTTAGATGAAGTCTTCTGAAGTTCAGAGCTCTTTGTATGTCTAGGTGTTGGTTGTGATTGATGGATAGAAGTCTGGATTGGAGTTATTTCCTGTAGGACTTGAGACGCGGCCGCTGAAATCTTCTTGATTTTCTTAGCTACAGGAGGCAAGGGTGGTCTTCCAGGAGCAGGAGTATCTTTCACTTGGCTTGTCTTAATTGCTTCTGATTCCGAACCTTTTTTTAACCTTGTCTTCATTTGCGGGACTTGGACTGTATGATCTGTCAGAAGTAGTAATCAATGTAAGAAATCTCATGAAGCAATAGTTGGAACAAAAAGTATATGGATCCTCTAAAATAAGGGAAAGGAGTACTTTTCATGCTGATACTAAAATTTTACTCCTTCCGTCCCGAAAAGGATGATATTTTCCAATTTCGAGAGTCAAACTTCTTAACTTTGACCATGAATTCGAACATAGAATCTTTAAGTTTTTTAAAGTAAAATTTATATATTTGGAAACTACATAAAAAGTACTATAAGTCACAATAATTAACAATTCAAAATATTTAAAAAGGTATATGAAAAAGCCGTAGTCAAAGAACAACTTGTTTGACTCTCGAAATCAGAATTCATTTGCAGAAAAAGTATATGTTCTAATGCATTATATAGGTTTCATCAGTAACCTTCAAATCTAAGAAGCAGTATAAGTACTCCAGATAACTTATAATATTCCAAATAATTTGTCCCTAGTTTGGCTCTATACTAAACCAAATGGCAAAAACGCATATAATGCTTAGCCACAACCTCAAATACCATATCATTCATGTAGCCCCTCAATATGAACTCTAGCCATTAATTAAGAATATCTGTCTACGTTGTCGACGCCTGACATGAACAATTCAGTCAGAGACCCGAGGGATGAATAACGGAACATACATCAAGACTGAAGGAATTATAGGAATGTCTCTCTTTATCATGGAAGTAAGCTCCAGTTCCATATCAGTAAAGCAATCTGAAATAGCGCCGGTCTCACAACCAAAGATATTGAGCGCCAAAGAAGGCTTAACAGTCAAAGTATCTGACCCCCCTTATTTATAGGTAAGAGAGAGGAATTGAGTCCAATCTCTTTTCTATCTTATGCGAGGTAGGGGAGGGAGAGAAACGAGAGCAAGAGCATTAATCTTAGTTAACTTGCAGGGACCAAAATAAAATGGGGGAAATTATTCATTACGTGTCATTTTACATGGAGATACTCACAAGTTACAATGTAATCTTACTGGCTTCTCTTATACCAAAAACGAGTATATGCCTTTTTCACTAATCTAGTTGGCTGCTCACTACATGGACTTGAAAATTTAAAAAAATAAAAGATAATAAAGAGACAAGCCACAAAACCATGAGGAAAACGTGAAAGCATATCCAAACCAGATTTAGATTATCCTCGGCCATTTGAAAATCTTATTATAATTAACTAAGATTAGAAAAGGAAATTGGTCGTGTGGACATAGGTACTTGACTCAAGGAGTTCCTCACAATCTTCTTTTGCTAATATTGGAATCAATATTAGCAAAAAGTCATGCTTTATCAAAGTATATTGTTCTTCATCCAGAGGAGGACATGAAAGGAAAGAAAATTTAGTGTTACCATTTTGCTTTTCTGTATTAGTTTTTCTAGAAGAACTAATTGTAGGTGCGGAAAATGAACTTCTATTCCTTGTCTCAGCACTCCTCAACTCCGGTGTACTTTCTGTTTCTTTTCCACACAATACTTTTGTGCTAAAAGCAAGTGATGAATTCTTCTTTAGATTATGGGTGGTGTCCTTCTTGCTAGATAAAACAGGAGATCTCCGAACAGATGACACTGAAGTAGGAACTGGGGCTTCTAACCGCTTTTCCTCAACTTTACTACAGATGGAGCCATTCGTTTTACATTTCCGACTTAAAGGGCCGCCAACCATATTTGATGATCAGATGAACTTGAAATTAGCTTCGTCCAACGAAGAAGCTAATGCAAAGCGGCAAATCACCTCAGCAACAAAGGCCCTCCATTTATTGTGCTACTGCAATAACCACAACAATAGGTCACACCTGCTGAAATGTAAAACGATACCATCTATAACACATGCACGTTATGCACACTGCAAAGCGTCCATACATAGATTATAGATAAATCTAGTGATGAAAAGTTGTCCAACCGACAGTAAATTTTTCTCTCTATTAACTTTATCCACTGATAAATACTGTTACCAATTTAATAAATTAAACTACCATAAATAACCAAAAGGCCAAAAGGGTCACCATAAAGCATGTGAGTTTAAATAGGACCTGTCTACATTAACTATATCCACCAATAAATCCTATTCCCAGCTTATTACACCTAAAACTCACAGAAATAACTGAAACAGTCACCATAAAAACATACAACAACAACAACAAACCCAGTGTAATCCCACATGTGGGGTCCGGGGAGGGTAGTACGTGTACAGCCTTACCCCTACCTTGTGAAGGTAGAGAGGTTGTTTTTGATAGACCCTCAAAACAGGGGAAGCATAGTCACATCCCTTGTTGAAAGGAAAACAATAGTGTATAAACCATGGAAAAAACAATAACACGACATATTACCAAAAACAGTGGGATAACACGAAAACTGAAGCAAAAGAAACGGTCACCATAAAAACATATGAGAATTATATAGAACCTGTCCGGCAATCTCTATTAACAATATCCACCAATTAATCGTATTCTCAGTTTATTACACTTACCGGTCATTTGATTGATGGGTTAGTTAAACAGGGATTGTAATGCATAGATTGTTTGTACGGAGATTTTTATGTCGAGAATAAATAATAGTGGGGATTGTTATACGGTGATTAGATAATACAGGGATTGTTTTTAGGGCATTTTTGGCTTTAGATGCTCTTATACACGTATTGCTTATTCCGCCTTCTATTACGTATAAAATAATACATAGATTCCTATATAACTTATACCTCTATTAGCTATACAACATTTGATTTTCGGTATTAAAATACGCATGATGTATGAGTTTAATACTGGAATCATATAAAGTTCCACCAAGATTAACTTGCAATGCAGGGTTGTGTACTTCATACCAAACACTATGTAAAACAATACGAATTTTTATACCAGGATTATTTTTGCTTATATACTTGTAATTTGTAACCAAACGGCCACTTAATACTTCCACAAATTAATGAAAAACTCATTACACCTGACATGTAGTAGTAACTAATATCTACAGCAACACACAAGCTAACAAACCTTAAAAACACAATTAAAAAAATCAAATAAACCTAAAAAAAAAAAATCAAGAACGCCATATGGGTGTCTAAAAAATACGAAGAAACATCGAAAACTCAAATACCCAGAAGACGATATTTGAAAAAAAATCCGAAAACAAGAAATTAACAATAGAATAAAACCAGTATGAACAGCATAATCAATTCTTGATTCATCTACAAATATATATAGAACAAGTATGCACCTGTTGTTAAGGAACTGAAAGAGTAATTAAGAGACACTAATTAGGGTTAAAGGGGGTGTGAATATAAGAAAAAAAAAGACAAAATTTTGAAGAGGGGCGGTGGATTGAGAAGAAAGAAAGAGGGATTTGAAATTCAGAGGTTTGTTTTTGGGGCAAAGAGTGGTAAAATTGGCTTTTAAAGGTTTTGGTTGTGGGGTCCATTATTTATGTGGAATATTTTCTAAATAATTGAGTTAACCTAACCGACATAGAGAAATTAAAAATAAAAATAATTTCAAAAACACTAGTTGGCTTAATATCGGGGAAAAAATTAGTTGGCTTAATATTTTAGATGAAAAGTTTCTTTAATGTTAATTATTAGCTGGCAAACGCAAATGGCTAGAATTTCTTGGTAATATTAATTTTCTTTTTTACAAATAGAAAAATCCAAAAAAAGGTCTATTCGATGCTGCATTCATCCAGGATTTACGGAAGGGTCGCACCCTAAGGGGGTACAATGTAAGAAGCCTACCTTAATGCAAGCAACGTGGCTCGGCTCGAACCCGTAATCTATAGGTCATACAAAAACAAGTTGACTGTTGCTTCAAGGCTCCCCTTCAAATAGAAAAATCCAGATGTATGACAATAACCATTAGGTCAAATAGAATTGATTTCGTAATACTATAATTTGAAGTCACATGCATTGATGGTCTAAAAATGTATTTACACAATCATATCACTTAGGATAGTTACAACTATGAACTCAAGAATAATGAGAGGAAGAAAAGGCTTTTAGTGAGATTGAAATCTTACACTTAAATTGTGACTTTTAAAAGCTTTGTTACCTTTAACATATATCAGAAATTGTACTAGGTGTGAATAATTTTCTTCTTTTTTCAAATTACTAAAATGGCCACCAATTTCAATCCAGTAAGGTGTTTGCTTCTTCACCTTACTGAAAAGTAAAAACAACACTTGACTCCTCTAGTTAATAGCCAAACATTCAGCTGCCACAACAAATAATTAATAACTCAACATATTCAATAAAATAAAAAGGATAAATGGACAAGCACTAGGCACTAAACAAGGTTTTTCACAACAAAGTCCAGCTAAAATAAAAGATCAAAGGCACCAACCACCAATGAGTGTGGTGCGACTTGCCCTTAACTAGACATCTCGAATTCAATAAGGGGCGTTCAGACCTTCGAAATAACTCCTCATAGGGAGCATTATCCCTTTTAGTGGGGCTTACATCACACGAATCCGGATTAGTCGGGCCTGCAAATCTCATGACGATGATGCCATGAGCTATAATCAAACATTTGATAAAGCCATAAAGGCACTACCAAAAGAAGGATTCAACAACAAAAAAAAACTTTGTATAATCCCAAGAGTGGGGTCTGGGGAGGGTAGTGTGTATGCAGACCTTACCCTTACCTTGAGGGTAGAGAGGCTGTTTCCGATAGACCTCTGGCACAAAGAAAAAAAAAAAGCAGTAACAACCAGCAATAACAACCGCATACTAAAAGAAGGATGAATATTCAAATGTTTTGATAAAGGCAATAACAAAAGGAGGATGAATATTCAAATGTTTTGATAAAGGCGCTAACAAAAGGAGGATGAATATTCAAATGTTTTGATAAAGGCACTAACAAAAGGAGGATGAATATTCACAGAACTTTACATGTTTATAAGAAAAAAGCTATATACACAGAAAGAGTTCTGATTGATTTTCATCATCAGCTGTACATTGGGAAATCAAGCNAGGAAATCAAGAAAAGAATCCCTCTAAAAAGAGTACTAGTTACTATATAAATCATTCTGTACAATTTTGTTTTTCTTCCCTCATTTCTTTCATTTCCATTCATGAGATCAGGAAGTAGGTGACGAATGAATGGCGGTATCAGGTAACATGGCTACTGTCACTACGAAGTATTCACAGCCGACAGGGAGACCATACGGGTTCGTAGTTGATCCTGAATTCAAGGACAAACGATTGGTCGTTCCTGTGTCAGAAGTCAGTATATCTAAACGGTCTCTATCATGGTCAACTCGAACTGATGTTGAGGGTGGCAGCCTCACAGTCTGTCGTTCAATATGCACAACCAGCCCTACGATATAGCTTGGACGATTTGGAAGATGGTCAGTAAACAATGCCACAGATTCTGCAGAGAGGTAGTAACGAGGACTGTTTCGATTGATAGCCTCATAATTTCCAGTAGAGTTGAGGACAAATGCTGCAATTTCATGGACTTCTAAACGCCCAAATGATATCTTCTCTTTGTTTGCCTGATGAACAATTAGGAAAAAATAAGTCGCATAAATAAGAATTTCAACTGATCATACATTTTCTGTCACTTTAAGTCATGCCCAAACCATAGGCCTAACCAGCGATATTTCTATTTTTCCGCAATATAGATTAAGATTAATATAAGAGGGAACACTTCCCAGAAAAAAGATCAATGAAACATAGAACATATACGGTAAGTTTGATGAAGAAAGATCAATTTATAATTGTCAAAATAAAAGGAGAACAATTTACAGCCGCTACATACTATCCTTATTAACTGCATTACAAAACCTTTGCTTAACGTAACAATACTTTCATTGTTAATGAAACTGAAAGCTCAAACATAGACAAACTACAAATACCATGAGAATAGATCACAATGTAGTAATGGTACTATGCATATGACCAGAATACAAGTTACTATAAAGTGTACCTGCTTCTCGTGTTGATGCTTTTTATAGAGGGTGTTAACCAATTCTTTCTTTTCGTCCAACTCCTTCGCTAGCTGTTTATTTGCAGCATCAAATTTGGTACATTTGTCAGCCAGGTCCGCTCGGTGCCTTGATAATGCACCAACTTTATCAGCAAGTACCCGAATGCATTCACGAAATTCAGCTGAGCCATCTTCTTCTTTTTCATTGATTGAACTAAAAACAAATCAATTTAACTTGCATCAGCCTGTGTTAGTGAAAAGATTGCATATACGATAATTATTACCATTATATTTTTAGTCCACTCCACCAGTAAACCAATGGGCTAACAGTCAACAAATGGTAGTCATTGTCCTATCTCCTAATATTAAATCTTTAAGTAGTTAACCCAAAGCTAGAGAACAAAGAACTTGAAGAAACAAACATGTTATAATATCAGGAATTGCTCCCTAGTTACATTTAGTTCTCCCCTTGTAGAATTTAGGGACAAGAAAAATTTTATAGTTATTCAACACATTTCTTCACTCAACTTATTCTCATTTACTGCATAGAAGCAAGCAAGAAAAAAGCCCCTTGACACAACTCCAATTGCCAAAATCGCAAGACATTCCTTTTGATCACTAGGTTAGATTTGAGGACTGGAATTAATATAAACAAGATCATGGCTTAAGCATTTTATCCTTGAGAAGATCTTTGACAAGGTTCTTGAATAAGATATAATATGCATATTGAAGGTGTTGAGCCATGCAAATATCAAGCTGGTGATTCATCATTGAATTGAAAGCAAGTTAAAATAGAGGAAACCCATGTCTAAAACGTGGAAATATTGTACTCTGAAAATAAAGAAAACCAAAGCATAAGGCTAGGTGAAAAGGCATCGAGATAATGACTGGCACGCAAGAAGTTCTTTAATGGGGTTGGTAATGGAAAAATGAACATATTAGCCATTAAAGAGTTAGCTTGAATCATCAGGATGTTTGTTCAACTGCAGGTAGAATTACTAGTCTCTATGCAGAGTTTCACCGAGAAGAAGGAAGTTCTGTGACTGATTAAGATAGATAATAGTTCTCAGAGGGAGATTCATTTGGAAAAACTAACCAAAATAGAGTCCAATTGCCAGAGAGGCTATCAACGAGCGCTAATTAGTGTTTTAAAGAGACAATGAGGAAGCCCCTCAATTGGTGGTTTTTAAGTATTTACTGGTGTCACTCAAATTCTCTCTTTTTTTGTTATTCAAGAACATGAAAAACTCCATATCACGAGGTCTTGCATGTCAATACCTAACAACACAATCACCACCATTTTTTTTCCATCCTTTTTAATAACAGTAGTGTCTGGGCCAGTTTATGCACACCCAGAATATTCCACCAGATACCTGCTACCTCCCCACCACAACACAGGTACACCAGGTAACTCTGCCCGAAGCTTTTTTGTCTCTGCTGCAATTTAAACTCTGGTCTCTCATGGTTTTCACCCACTTTTATTGCTAGGTCACACCCTTGGTTGCCCTTCATACGCATGAAAGTGAATATCTCATATTTCTCAATCAGCATGGAATTGTCAAGGAGATATCTAGTACTATCAGAAATAGTCTTACCCCACATATAAAACAGATTGTTCTGGTCTTCTTAGCCCAAAATTTAGTAACTTCAATCTTGGCAAATACGAGCACATCATTTCTCTAACTCTCACCCTCGTAGAAGAGCATGGTTCTTGAAAGAGTGGCTCTCCTAAATGGGAAAATTTTTGATAGTCTTTCATCCGTTATATCTTTTGCAGAATATACCGAAGACATAATCTTCCTCCCAAAAATCCAGGGAAAAACATTATTTACCCAAGTTTCTCTCTCTGTCCTCTCAAGCCGACTCAATTCATTTATCTTATATAAAATGTATCAACAAATAGTTCTTACATACTTGGGAGTAGACTGCAGAATTACTACCCTTGCATCAGGAAGAAGAGGAAATCAAAAAAGGAAAGAGAACACTACAGGATACAGAGGGTTTTGGTATGTCACACCATTACAAAGACAATATACCGTCTCACAACAAGATAATTAGAAGCTCGCTAACTTCCAAAACATTCCATTGTAGTGCATTTTAAGCTATTCAGACATGCAGATTAAGATTACCATATCTTCATGCTATACAATCTTAACAAGCTCTTTAGAAGCAATCTTGCTTAACATGTTACGATGAAGGAGTCTATGGAAGTACCAATTACGGCAAGGTAAGTCGCAAGATATCTGCAACAGAGTATTTCAGTCTCTTTGCACCAATAAATTATACGATAACAAAGTTGATAGGATTAGTTAGTACAGTTTAACACATCTTCGTGTAAGGAAAGCAAAGAGAAGTTAAGAAAATTTGAGCCAGTAAAGTTTTCGATGATTAGTGCATTTGTCCCCGAACTCAAGTTTATGGAATTGGTTTTTTCAGCC